CGGGGGCGGAGCTTGCCACCGGCGGAGGGCGGGGCCCGCGCGGGGACTTCCCTTAGGCTGAGCTGCGCAGCGGGTGCGGAGGGCGGGACGGGGTCCGGGGGTGGCTGAGGGGCTGTGAGGTCGTGGGGGTGGGCAGGCGCGCTGCAGCCGCCGCCACCTGGTGGTCCCCAGGGCTTGGGACCCTTCCGGGGAAGGTGGCCCTAGACGGGGGGCAGGCGTTGCTGGGAGGCGGAAGGCTGCTTGGCCGCAAGTCCTGAGGCGAACGCGAGCATGTGTGCGTGCGCGTGTTTATCTGAGGTGGACTCTGCCCCCTCCCCCCTCCTCGCGCTAACTCGGGTCGAAACCCGGAGTCCAGAGGCGGCGACACAGATCTTGGAGCCTACCCGCTCCTCCCTGACGAGTCTGCGCCCCTAAATTGCGCCCTCTTTTCGTCTGACCCCGTCCCCCAGAAAAGGGGACAACTCTGGCCCAAGTCCTTGCCGGGAGGGAGCGCTGTGGAGACGCGCTGCCTTCTGTCTGAAGAGTTGGGCAGGTGGTGGGAGTTCCTGAGGCTTGAACTTCAGGGTTTTAAAACACCTGTTTGTCTCTGTCATTTTTACTTTTAGGGTTTTGGCCAAATTGGGCGAGGGCACAAAATAACCACTTACCCCTTCTCACCGAGGAGGAACGGGAGAAAGGGTAAGTAAGGAATGGTCAGGGGTGGAAGGAGCTAGGACTTCATCCTCAGAGAGAGAGAGAGCGAGCGCGCGCGCGCGCAAGGGAGAGACAGACTAGACCCAGAGCTGCCTTTGGGGGATCTTGGGGCCAAATTTCCTCCTTTTCGTCAGGAACCTGAGCCCCACCTTCAGGGGTCACAAGCTCCAAGCCCAAAACTGTTTTTCAGATGGAGTTCGTATAGTTGACTGGGACTTTGACAGCTGCGTGGGTCCCTTTTAGCCGCTTGACCTGGCAGAAAACTTACCGTTCACCTCTGGAATGTTGGGCCTGTGGTTGTCCGTCTCAGGCTCATATCTCTTAGGCTTTGACTAATCTCTGAGACTAGTGGTAAAGAATTTTGGCTCTCTTTGATTATTAACCCGAAATTCTCAGGATTTTTTTTTTTTAATTCAGCAGCTATATACTGATCATTCATTACATGTGAGATACCATGGTAGGCATTTAACCTGAGGTAACCTGTCACAAAGTGAAACGTATCAGTAAGGCTTCTTCCCACTTTTTTTTTTTAATTGAAGTATAGTTGATTTACAATGTTTCAGGTGTACAACGAAGTTATACACATACTTTTTTTTTCAGTTTTTCTTTATAGGTTATTACAAGATATTGAATGTAGTTCTCTGTACTACGCAGTAGATCCTTGTTCCCTTCCAAGGATCTTTACATTTTAAAAGGGGATTCCTGTAAAAATCCATTAGGTCTCCAAAGCAAAAAGTTAATAGCAACATCACAAGTATTGAAGTTTTTTTGGGATCTTTTCTGAAACTTATAGTGGAAGGTACTTTGGGAGTAAGTAATTACCACACTGGGCCTCTTTCTCTTGACTTTCAGCTGATACCCTTCACCAGCATTCTGTTAACTTTTGAAAAGTTGCCAAACAGCACATTGAAGTCTTTGAAGGTTTGCTGTGATTTTCAGTGTGGGCTCTTTTAGTGATTCTTCTGTGCGACTTTTCCATCACTTTCCCTATCCACCACTCCCTCCATCCCTCCTATTAGCGAAATGAAACACAGCTGCTCTTAGAAGTTTGGGAACGCCTTGTGCATCCTATATGTCACATATGCAGAAACATTTTAAATTAGTTAAAATTCAGGTAAGCCACGTTCTTGGATACTTACAGGAAAACTTGAATTGCCCTCTGTCATCTTGACACTGGCTGCTTTTGCCCTGAACCTGCCTTCTTATTTATTTGTGATCAGTTAGAAGATGGCCACATAATGTACTTTATGAAAAATTGGAAAATTGTAACTGGCAATAGGTTGATTTATTGATTCTGTAGATATTTATCTTTTTTTTTAAATCAAAGTACTTTGGTATAAGTAGGATAGTGAGAATGAGGAGATAGAGATAGCCATTTGGGAGCAGGCCTTTTACCAGTTTCTGTGGATTTTCTGAATAGTTAAGTATTAATGTACACGGCCTTCCCTCTACTACTGATATGGTGCAGTGTTCTGGGAGAACAGTGTTATTTTCCTGCCTTTCTGATACTTTCAAAAATAAACTTTCAAGGATGGCTGACCATGGTGATTTGTGTCCTGTAATGAATAGTGTTATAGTCATTTTCCAGTGTCATAAATGTATTGAACCAGTGTAATAACTAGATGAGGATAATTTTTTGGACTGTTTCATAAAGATGACCAAAGATTAGAAAGCACAGGCAATGTTAAGGAAGATGCACTTGGGAAAATAAATACTAAAGCAGACAGTTCACTTGCATGAGTTTCTCTATATTTAATCTCATTTTTTAAAACTGAAATGAAAAAAAGTTGTCTTTCTGGTTACAAAGTTTATATCAGCTTAAAAAAGTTATTTAAAATTAAATCTTGCAGGGATTATATAAAAGGTCGAAAGGGAGTCTCATAATGAAATCAGTCTCAAGTGACCACTGTTTGTTAAAATTGTACCTTTATGCATTTTACCTCCATATTCTTGGCTATTACCGCCACTCTTTCTTTGTTCCACTCAGGTCCTTATGGAGAAGTAGCATGCCTGTTATAGTCTTTTAGGCATGGATGTGAATCCTGACTCTTATTATATTAGCTCTGCTGCTGTAGGCAAAGTAACACTTCTTTGCTCCTTGATTTCTCATCTGTCAAAATCGAACAATGAGTATATGAAAAAGAAAGTGTAAAAAACAGTGCCTGGCATAGAGATACTGTTAATTTCCCTCCCTGTTTCTCTATCTGGTAACCCACTGTCTTTTGATCTTTCTTGTGATTGTGGAAAGCAATCTAGTATTTATTTTCCGAAAAGTGCTAAGCCTCCCGGGTATTTGCATTTTCACAGGTGATCACCTGTTCTATCTGATCCTGGAATTTCTGGGACGAGGACTGACAGACACCGATTCCCCCATCAGGTCATTCCACAGGCCTGCGGAAGGAGTGTCAGCTTGAAAAATGAAGGGCAAGGGTTTCTATCATGTGTTTAAAAAGCTCTGACACTGTTGCCGAAATGAGAAAGACATACTACCACATTGAACTGAGTGCTTAAAGTTAGGATTTCTATTTCAGAAATGTCCTTTGGTTTAGAAGAATTACAATAAAAATGCTGATGCTTCATGTCCAAACTGTCATGATTTTGTCAAGTTGTGAGTTTAATATACAGCTAAGCTCTGTATTTAGTGTGGCTAATACTGCTCTGGAAGCCAAGAAAGACAAGTCCACAGACATCTGATTTCACACCAGACATCTGGTTTCACTTTGCTAAGGACTGCGTTTTGTCAGTAGATTATAGGCATATCAGCGGTACTGCTGTAGTTTGTGGCATTTCTGTCATAAGCTCTGGGCTGTAGAGTTTAGTGTGATGTTTTATTCAAATGACGGTGCACTGTAAATGAGCACCTGGTCAGATAAGCACATTTCCCACAGGTGTCTTCTCATGTCATTGTTCTTACAAGTTAACAAGGCGAAATGGTTTCTATCCTTGGTGATTTTTTTTTGTGAAAGACATACATTCTTAAAGGGAAGCCTCAGTTAAGAAGCTTTTGTATTCCCAAAACTCATTTCCAGGACCACTTTTGTTTGTCGTGTTGCACGATGTATTTATAGGAATCCAATAACAAGTAGCATTTAGACTTCCAGGCCAGGACACCAGGCTTTGTTAACTCTTTGTGTACCACTGTGTTAGTGGTCCTGTAGACTCTGACCAACATGGCTAATGGTGTTTTGGAGACTAGTGTATTCTGAGTTCCAACCTAGAATAGCTGGACCACATCCCTCTCTGTTTTGAAATGGTCAGGGCTGTAGAAATACTCTGGAGACTGTCATTCCTGGGTTCTTGGGCTGGCTGTGTCATGGCTTGGCTGTGTGATCTTGGATACAAATTCCTTGTCTCGGAAATGAGTAATTTGTAATTACTCATGGTTACTGGGAGATTTAGTGAGTGTTTGTAAAGTAGCACTATATCTGGTACAAAAAAGTCCCTAGTAGATAGCAGTTTCATTTTTTTTCCTCTAAGGTCCTGGTCACCAGAACAAAGACTACCCTCCCATATCCCAGACTTGTGGCTCCAGCTGAAGGGAATTACCCATGAAAGCTGGGATTTGGTAGTGGGACTGGGAAGGGTATGGAGAATAAAGGCAAAGGGGAAGAGTGGTGAACTAAGAGAGGAAGGTGCCCATCTTTAGCTCATTCCAAGGGCTTAGGTTGATAAATTACTTGGCTCAGAAAGAACCACATTTATCTCTGAACTTTCTGTTAGTCTTTCGTCAGCTGCTCCATTGGAGACTCTTACCTCGTTATTGCCTACTTAGTCCTTTGATAAATTCTTTTCTTCGTCACCTTGATACTATCTGAATAACCATGTATTTCTATTTTTTTTAATGGGTGGGACTTAATGATAGATGTTCATACTTCCTTAAAATCTGGATTTTTTCCCTATACCTAAAGTCCAGGTGATCTTATCTTTTCATTGGCCTACAGTTTATTCATTAATTCCTTTCTTTCTTTTTTCTTATTTTCCATATGTTTTGTGCATCAAACTAGTGCTGAGGATATAAAGATGAAAAGTCACTTTCCTTGACTAAGGAGCTTTTAATCTAGTAGGACATTAGACATCTTGACCAACGGTTCCAATGTTGTGTGCTGTTTGCTGTAATGGAGATATGTACACACACCAAGGAAGCCTAGCAGAAGCTCCTGGTCCCTGACAGGAATGCCATAGAAGGGCTTTAGCTGTGGTTGTATTTGAGCTGAGTCTGGAAAGCTGAGTAGGGGTGGGCAGGTTGACATGCAGCCCAGAGCATTTCCAGATGGAGCTAATAGTATGAGTAGTTGCGTGGCATATGAGAGCATAATGTGTCCAGGGAACGACACGTAGGTCATTATATTTGAATCTGAAGGGCAAAGTCAGGAGTGAAAGGAGATGAAACTGGAAAGCTAATTCATTCAGGGTACATGTCCTATCCCATGTGTAGAGTGAGCCACTGAATGATTGTGAGTGACAGGAAAGATCGCTGTCAAAGCAGTGTGCTGGGTAGATTGGGGTGGAGTTGGGTGGGGATGTGAGGTTGTGGGGAGATTGGGGGCTGAGAGGACAGTGCACTTAGTGTGGTTAACAGGAAGTTGAGAGCATAGATGAAGGCAGAAACAGTGGGGCTACTCAGAAGTGAGAACATTTAGGAAAATATTTAGGAGAAGGGAGAACTGGCTAGTCTTTGCGACTCTTTGACTTTAAAAGGATTGGGAGAGCAAGGCTGCTAGAATGACTGCCAGGGTTCTGGGTACTGAGAGGGAAGAGAGAGGAGGATGCAATCTGAGGGGAAAGGTGATGAGTTCGGTTTAGACATGTGTTTAATGTGCTTGTGGGTTGTATCATTGGTGAGTTGAGGCATCTAGGAGGCAATGGGATATAGGATCCTGGAGCATCATGAGAGTTGTGGAGGCTGGAGATACAGATTTCTGAGTGCTTACCATATGGACAGTTGAAGGCATGGTTAAAGGTAAAAGTGCTCAGAGGAACTGCTT